AATGGCCTTGACAGCAATATTTAAGGAAAACGTCAAATTCAAAACATATTAACCTTAAAACAATCTAAACAGCAGAACTGTGTTAACACACTGTAGGTTGTCTTTATAATCTACTGAATTACTGTAGGCTACATCATGCTGTAAAGTCCATGCATTCTTGCAGTAGGTGTTACCTGCATCAGGTTAGCTTATGTTGGTTACCCGAGTCACTCCTCTGTTCCTCCATCCTCCTCTGTGTCACTGGCACAGGCCAGGCTGGGTAAATCTGCAGTTTTACTGTCCACTACATCAGTGTATACAGCCCCGAAGAGTAGTGAGCGGATCTGAAAAGAGACCCTCGAGTTGTACAGTAAATGCAAACATCTGAGTAATTTTTGACCAAATTGTAGTTGGATCATTCTACTAAAATCGTTTGATCTAAATGCTTCTGCTTAAATACCTGAAACAAGTTTTGTAGACAGATGTTTTAAAGATATAACACACCGTCTTACTATTTAGCCCTATTTAGCCTTATAAAGCCTGATGTATTATATTTGATACATACATTTCTAAGGCCTCTAAATTATCAACATTATCAAAACTTGCTGAAAAACCTGTTGCACATGCCTGGTACATGCCTTCTGTTGTCTGACTGGTCATCTGTACACTTTTAGCAAGTAAAGTTTCAGGTGTGTTTTTCTGTAAAATGTCTACAGATTTTTATAAGGTAAATGAGAATAAATTTAAATTGTTAGTGATATTTCAAGACGAACGCATACTAGACTGAAGCAACTTAGGTTTATTTGATTATCCAGACATCATTTAGAAAAATCATGTTAAAATGCTAAATGATCAAGATCAATGTTTGCTAAATAAGCAATGTATGGAGAACATTTATTTCTTCATCTCTCAATCATCTTTGTATTGCATTGCATTATACTGTATGTTTTGAAACTGCAGAGCTTTGATTATAAAACTAAGCATTTAAATATCATCTTACAGTCTTATTTAAGTAGTCTGCTCTACTCAGGCTATTATGTGAAATGTCAGTCTTTACAGGGTTAAAGGATGGATGAGTTGGAGTGGATGAATTTAAATTTTTTTTTGGGTCACTGTAATTTTGTACTTGTGTTACTTCACAATTTTGAATATTTTGCTATTATTTTACTTACGACTGATAAAAAAATAAGAATTTAGGCCTGATATGCAATTTACTGTTTGTCTGATAGAAAACTCTAACCTTAAAAGTGGCTGGTGTTACTGGTGTAGTCAAGGCCGATTCAGGTGCCAGTCTGGGTCTTGGCAGCATCTCTCCAGGTGTCTGAAGCTGAATCATCTTCCTCATTTGAAGGGTTGGATTAAAAACTTCACTGCCCTGACTGGAAGCCACCTGTTCCCCATCAGTGACGCACACCTCTGTCTCCATAGAGCCTCCACATGTGGAGACTTCTGCTGTGGAGGTCTTGGGGACGTTGACAGGACAGTCATCCCTGAAAAACAGACTGCTATTTGTTGTTGTTGTTGAAGCTACAATTTAATCATTTAAACATGCCCAATGAATTCATTGTTTTGGGTTCTTTTTGGTTTTTCTAAACAAGCAGCATTAAACTCTCTGCTGCCCCCTCCAGCTCTGGAGAATAAGGTTTTTTTTTTTTTTTTTTTAATTGAACTGTAGAAAGTTAACAAAAAGAATTGGCCTGGTATAATATTGAACATTTCTTAGCGAAACAACAGACAAGCACCATAAAGCAAGACCAAGGAAATAAGAAATAGGAAACAAAAAACATTGGTTCAAATCACAGAAATGTAAGGCATACTTTTTCATTCATTAAAAAAAAAAGAAATAATGACATAGTGCCTTTTGATTATGTAGAAATTTGGTAAAGTATTCAACTATTCATCTATTTTTATGTCAAAAGAATAATATTTATGTTAATCACTAAATCTTGCACATTTTCCTTTTTAATTCACAGAAAATCTATGTATGTGTATATATATATATATATATATATATATATATAATTCTTGTTAATATTTTTAATTATATAATTAAATATATATTTTATAAAATTATACAATATATAATATACAATATAATAAAAAAAAAATTTTTTTGGAAATAAATAGTTCATGCAAGTCCTCCTGAAGCATGAGGTTTACTGGAGTTTTAGGTCAATTCATCTAAAGTTTGTTCATTTTGATAACATACCCCAGCAATGAAAGGGGCGACCCTCGTTGCGTAGAATAAAACACATTTATATACTAAAACACTGAAATGACTTTAGTCTTCATCTTATGTGAGTGTGTATTATCTAAAACATGCTATTTATTTTTAATGGGTGAAACCCTTTTTACTGAATGTCTGTCTGTAAGCAAAGAGTTTGCACCAAAACCTGAGGGATGGGAGTGTTATGGGTAACAAAACACGTGGTATAAATCACATGGTGACAGTGGGGGAGGGTGTGTGAAGAAAAGATGAATGCATGCCTCTGAATATGTGAATTGCGCCCCAGGGGGGCGGGGCATTACTATGTTCAGATTTGGCCCTGTACCAGAACTGCGGCCCACAGGACAAATGCTCCACTGCACGTGACAGCAAAGCAACTAGAACAACTGTTTTGACCTAGCCAGGATCTGTTTATCTACTCCACTAAGAGGGAATTTGGGCACTATTTAGTAAAATTATCTAATTTACTCAAAATGAACATTATGTCATCATTTACTCACCCTCATGCCGTTTCAAACTTATATGAGTGTCTGTCTCTTTGCTGTCTGCATCCATTCAAATATTTATGCTATTTTTTGTCTTTTAAAATTTTTTTAAAGCTAGTTTTTGTTTCCTTTTCTTATATTAATCCATTGTGTGGCTCCTCATTTGTAAGTCGCATTAAGTTAAAACATTTACTAAATAAATTAAAGTGTAAAATTTTATAATGCTCATTGACTGTCATTGACTTACCATTTGATCTGCTCTTATTAATGCTTAAGCTATTTACTTTCAAATTATATTTAATTATATATAATTGTGTGTGTACAGTATACAGTATTGTAATTATTATAATATAAGTAATAAGTATAATTTTAAAACTATAGTTTTATATTTATATTTAGATTATTTTAATATTTATTTTAATATTTATAATTGTATTGTTTTTATAATTATAATTGTAAAATTATACTTATTACTTATATTATAATAATTACAATATAATTTATCATATATAAATTTCATATGTATTTATAATTTTTAGATACATTTAAATATAATATAATATATATTACATATACATTTTAAAAAGTATATATTTTAATTATATATAATAAATACATATATTATATTCTACTATATTTAAAAGTATATAAAAATTATAAATACATATGAAATTTATATATGATAAATTATATTATTGTAGTTATTGTAATAATTAAACATCATTTTCAGCCAAAGAATCAACATAAATGGCCTTGTTTTTGGATGACAGACTTTGTCTTTAAACTAAACTGCTTTGCTGACATCTATGCAAATAAACCCTTTGTCCTTTTAAAATCAAAGATAAAAAAATCAAGTGTTTTTATTTACTTTAGCTTGTGTTAGCATAATTATTGCAGGTAGGCTGTTTAAACAGTCAGCAGTGACGTAAGTTGCACGCAACAGGTGACCCAGATGTTTGTTTCTGCTGGAGAATAACACACAGAAACACTGATACGCACAAACACCACGAGGAGGCGGGGCAACTTCAGTGACATCACTGCCTGGACTGGATGAGCTACAGTGATAATTAGAGACAGGCTAGCATGTCACAGCTCTAGTTCTGCGTTACCCTATATAGGTGAGACATGAAAGACTAGAGCACTAAAGCTGTCACTGAACTCAACGCCCTCTTGGTGCCTATGGAAGTGCCTTTATGTCACAGTGATTTTGCATTTGCATTGCAACTATAATTTGACATTACAGGAAAGAGATTCTATGAAACAATGTTACAGGGTGGAATATTGTATCTATATGGGCAAAATAAATAAGAATATTTCACCCAAAAACTGAAAATGAACCTCACATTGTGCCCATAAGACTTACTTTCTTCTGTGGAACACAAAAGCATTCATACAAAAAGCTATCATATAGATTCAGATTATAAAAGATATTCACAGAAGAAAGAAAGGCATACAGGTTAGGAACAACATGAACGTAACTAAATCATGACAAAATGCAAATTTATGGGTGAACTGTTCCAGTCAATTTTACACATACAGTACATTCATGTTAATATGAGGGACAAAATTAAATACCCAGGTGCAGGTTGAGATGGGCTCTCGTGGTTTGGATCAGTTAAGGTGGACAACACAACATGGGCCTCCAGCGTCATGTCTTTTACAGTGAAGGATACGGGCCTGAAATAGATCAGAATCAACTGACAGCATTAGCTGGTTATGTATAGTATGCTTACTGTATGATTTTATGCTGAATGCATGTGGGTGTAGTATCAAAAAAGTTAAAATACTTACTGTCCAGCCACACCAAACTGACTAGACACTGGTAGACCATAAGACTCGGCAAAGGACAGCAGCCCCTAAAAGCAATTTAACAATAAATAATTATTAATAATTATAAATTAATAATACTTATAAATAGGGATGCACTCTGTGCTCTGAACGCGCTCATTGTGAGTGTTTCCAATGAGAAGCTCTATTCGCGTTTGTCCCTCTTCTCGAGAGATGAGTGACAAGCGTTTGCGTCTTGCGGTTTGGGTCCTGCTGCTGCCGAGGCACGGCGAAGACTCGGATCGTGGGACTCGCGGGGTTAAGATGCTCTTTTGGGTTATCAATCCTGTGTATAGCGCTTGAGTCAAGCAGCACCTGAGGGAACGTGTGCCTCCATGTTTGGATTCTAACACTTGAGGGCATGTTCTGCTTTCGCGTTGGTCTCGGCGAAGAGCACACGCGTTCAGAGTTACGCGCTCATCATGATGAGTCACGATGTCTAGGCTCCGCTCGCGTTTGTTCCCATTCCCGAGGGATGCGGGATGAAGCGTTTGTGTTTTGCGGCCCGGTTCGCCGTTGCCGCGGCACAGTTTATCCCAGGTCGCGGTGATTGCTTTGATCTGCTGGATCCGCACACCCTCTCTAAACGGGTTGTCAGATGCTGCAGATACTACTGGGTATCTAACTATTGTTATGACGATGAAGTGTGAGCACGGAATCGTTTCAGTCTGATCCTCCGAGATCGTGGGCGGAGCTATATTCAACTCGGTCGTGCCTCTCTAATATAGGGTGACCATACATGCCATTTTCCCAGGACGCGTCCTGGCCAGGATTTCTATATTGCGCGTCCTGGGAAAATGGCACGTATGGTCACCCTATCTAATATGCATGTTATTGTGTGTGGAGAGCCTCACTGGGCTTGAATATATTTTAATACTCTATGGGGAAATGCTTGCGAGCTTTCTTTCCCAGGGAGTTTCAGCACCTAGAGTGGTTATGGGGAATGTTCCTTCCTGTATTAAGCCAGACGGGTTTAGGAGTGGGCTGCCTCCCCAGGCTTTTGGGTATTTTTAAGTGGGTGGTCCCTCTGAATCCCGCTTAGTGAGTTTGGGCTGAGTACACTGCTCTCCCTCTTCAGGGTTTTAAGTGAGCAGTCCCTGCTCAGAGTGTAGCGGTCTGCGGATGGTTAAGCTCCAGCTCAAGCTTACTTTGATCTGGAATATGGCGGTCTGAGGGCAGCTACTGTATGTTCTAGCCTGGCTTGGGTTCCCCTTGGCACAAGCTCTCTCAAGTAAGCGCTGAAGTCTTTGTCCTGTCTTCAGCCTTATCTGAGGGAACTGCTATTCGCTATAGCTGTGATAGTTGTGTCCAGCCCTCTAGTGTTTTAGCCACGGCTTACATCAGGCTTTGATCTCGGACTGATGATGTTTATGTGTTCGCTCTTAGCGAATCATTTACTGATGCCCTGGATCGCCCTCTTGTGAGCTCCTGGTCAATGACACGGTGCTTCGCTAGCCTAACGTGGGACTGACACGGATTGGGGACCTCCTTAGTATAACCATCTGAGGGTGGTTACATAACAGGCATTGTTATGGCAGGACAGGCTTACTTGAATACAGCTATCTGAGGTTAGCTGTGTCTTACTGGCAGTTGCGGTGAGCCCTCTCCTGGAGTGATCCCCTTTCCTAGAGCCTAGCTATCTGAGGATAGCTATGTGATAGCTCAGTGATTGCTCCCCTGCCTAGGGTTTTAAGTAGTGGTCTCTTGAGCCCTTGCCTAGACAGTGCTATCTCCCGTGCTAGGGTTGTAAGTAGATAGCCCACTCTGTGTTCGCTCTTAGCGAATCATTTACTGATGCCCTGGATCGCCCTCTTGTGAGCTCCTGGTCAATGACACGGTGCTTCGCTAGCCTAACGTGGGACTGACACGGATTGGGGACCTCCTTAGTATAACCATCTGAGGGTGGTTACATAACAGGCATTGTTATGGCAGGACAGGCTTACTTGAATACAGCTATCTGAGGTTAGCTGTGTCTTACTGGCAGTTGCGGTGAGCCCTCTCCTGGAGTGATCCCCTTTCCTAGAGCCTAGCTATCTGAGGATAGCTATGTGATAGCTCAGTGATTGCTCCCCTGCTTAGGGTTTTAACTAGCGGTCTCCTTGAGCCCTTGCCTAGACAGTGCTATCTCCCGTGCTAGGGTTGTAAGTAGATAGCCCACTCTCTGTGGTCTGGGTAGTCTCAGGCGGTCCCCCTTATGGTAGCCCCTTCCTAGGTACCTAGCTATCTGAGGGTAGCTATGTGCTAGCTCAGTGATTGCTCCCCTGCTTAGGGTTTTAACTAGCGGTCTCCTTGAGCCCTTGCCTAGACAGTGCTATCTCCCCTGCTAGGGTTGTAAGTAGATAGCCCACTCTCTGTGGTCTGGGCAGCTTTGCAGGAAGGTGTTGCCTGGCTAGCTAGGCTAGCTGTGCATGGTTATTCTGGTCTACAAGCCTTCATAAGACCTTTAGGACATAGCTATCTGAGGATAGCTGTGTTCTAGCTCAGCAGCTATTTCTCCTTACCAGGATTTAAGTAGCTATCTTTGAGCTCCTCTAGAGGCTTTCTAGTTAGTCTCTTCAGTGGTCTTGAGTATCCAGGCTTATATGGCTCACATAGCATAGCTATCTGAGGATAGTTGTGCTCTTAACTTGGGTGGGATGTTCCCCTGGATCTAATCGGGTTCCCCATTTCTGCCAAGTTGTGTGAGCAGCCCGTGGCGTCAGTGGCATGGCCCCTTTCTGAGGAAAGGCTTGGTGTACGTCTGTCGCTTCCTTGGTGCTCCCCCACCAGGTGGACAGGAATGCGCCTCGGTTCCCCTAGCGTCTCGTTCCCCGTCTAGGGTTACGCATGTAGTGATGATTCCCCGAGAGGAAATGAGACGCTACGTCCCCTTGCCATGCCTTTGGCCTGCCTGTTTAAGTCTCCTTCAGACAGCTAAGTGGATGACGTATTCAGCAGGTGCCCTTTTATACTTCCGGGCACCCTGCCAATGACGTCATGGGCCAGGTGGACCAATAGATTGGCGTTGTTTCACACGTGCTTCAGACATCGGTCATGCAGGCTGCATTCCCCAATGTGCCCCCTAGGGGGCGCAGCGTCTCGTTCCCTCTCGGGGAACCATGGTTACATGCGTAACCCGAGACGTTTTTCCTGAAAACCACGATTGCAAATTTGACATTTTATAGGCTACAAGAGTTAAAACGAGTAGTTAATATACATTTTAGTTCAATATTCGAATGAATTTATTGAAAGGATATATTGTCAACGTTGACTGTTTTTGCTCCATTTGGTTAATGAAAATAGTTCCAAACAAAGATCACAGCAGAACAGTCGCATCTATGAGCAACACACAGCGGTGTTTCGTTATTGAATGATTCGCGTTTTTGAATTTTTAATCATTTGAGTTAATGATTCAGTGGTCCATTCATAAAGACAGGCACTTGCTTCATTCTTGAAGGAATCAGCCGTCTGAACGAATCGTTTGAAGGCATGCTTCAGTAGCTGCATTTCAATCCACCTATTTTTATGGGCATTTTGGAATATCGCATAAAAAAACGCTGGATGGAAACGATAAGATGTGCACAAAATCCTTTGAGTAGGATAAACTTTTTATCCGATAAGAAAAAATATGCATAAACTACGATGGAAACACATTTACTGAATAAATTCCTCCATGCGCATCAAAAAAGTCATGTGACTTTGCGCTATGAGACGGGATAACTTGACTAGCAGCGGACCGATCTCGTCTGTGTAAATGCATCTGAATGTCACTCCAGTCACTTCGGTTTCTTCTGCAGTGGAAAGATCGGTTTTGTTAATACGGATTTCATTTGATTGGTAACAGCCCTATATATTATTATTATATTAAGTGAAATTATTAATAAAATGTACGATTTTGATATGAAAGACGGTGCATGCATTTAATACGGTTAGGGAAAAATGCCCTTTAAATAGGCCAAAAATGATCTGGAAATCAATTTAAATACATTTTTGTATAAGTTATATAAAACGTAATTTCCCAACAACAAAATTGTGGCCAGTGAACATGCTGAGTGGCTGAAAATTTGGAAAACCACTAGCCACAGTGGCTGGTGAGCAAAAAAGTTCATGTCAAGCCCTGCACAGCATGTAAGCATTTTATAAAGAGAGAGAGAGAGAGAGAGAGAAGAGATGATTGATAGTTAGATAGATAGATAGATAGATAGATAGATAGATAGATAGATAGATAGATAGATAGATAGATAGATAGATAGATAGATAGACACAATTATATAATTTATTATAATTTATTATTAATTACTAAAATAATATTTTACATATATACGTTATAAGACCTGTCAAAACAGATTCCAACAATTATATAATTTATTATAATTTATTATTAATTACTAAAATAATATTTTACATATATACGTTATAAGACCTGTCAAAACAGATTCCAACAGTATTTTATACACAAGGGACACACTGATCCGTACAGATGTATTTGACCCCGTTTAAGACTGCATGAGGAGAAGGTCAGTCATGTGTGTCCAGACCACAGTGTGCTGTCCAGTGCTGTAACTCATTGTGACAGGCTATTTGGTTTGAATCCAGGCATCTGTCCCACTGCATCAATGACTGACACAAATACACTGTGGCCTGCCAAGAAGTTACGCCACTGACACACAGCCAAAACCCGTACGTGAAAAGGGTTGGTACTGTCGGGGCATAATCCACTGCCACTAGATTTCCCTGGAAATCAGGGTCAAAGGTTGAGCGCGAGGATACAAAACGAGATGGTGTTTATAATTTATCTTGGAGGCATTAAAATTCCAAAATCACGGAAGCGATCATAGAACACAATTTCTTTTCTTTTTTTTTTGTAGTTTTGCATAATCCAAACTAATGCATTTTTTGTGGAATGCAATTTTGCCTATTAATGCAGAATGCAACAAAATAAATAAAATACCACACCTGGCTGTGAGTTAAAAGAACATTGCAGTCCTTTCAGTTCACATGCATAACACACTTTCTCTGAACTTGCTTGGGTGAATATGATAGGCACAACGACTACTGGACATCCCAGGACAGAAATAAGTGGCAATAAAAATGAATATGGCAGATCCTTGTGCACTCACCAGCACAAACATCAAATAAAACATACTTGCATGGGAACACACACAACTTAAGTATATATCCTGTGTATTTAAAACATGCCGTGCTGAATGCTCACCCTCAGTTCTTTGAGGCAGAAGGTCACGGCTGAATCCTCTCCAACCTGAAAATAGTCAAACTCATCTGGGTGCAGCATCAGCTCGGTGTTCATACCTTTGATATAGTCTGATAACAAACAAACAAGATCTAATTAATGTATGACCACGATGTTGAGCATCTGAGTATACAGGAGCTTTGGTATACAGTAAGTCTAAATACATGTAGGTCACATGCAGTTCTGAAATTTTTTTCAGTGAATTTCATGTCAAATTAATGGACTTTCAAAAAATTAATTGAACACTAGCTCACTGATTAAATGTATACTGCATTCGAGATGTAGGTTATATAATTATTTACTATATTATCTCTCTCTCTCTTTCTTTATATATATATATATATATATATATATATATATATATATATATATATTCATTTGGCTCAGATTCCATTATCGTCTGTAGAGTTTTACATGTATACTGTATTGTTTATTGTATTTGTCCTGTTTTCAATATATTTATTTTTATTGTTGATTGTAAAGCACTCTGAGCTTGGGAAAAGAAGCATAAAAATTAAACATTATTATTATTATTATTTAAAAAATAATAAGCTAAGCAATAGGCATTATTTAATGAGAAACACAATAGTATGCAACCACATGACCTCATCATACTGTACATTTATTTTAGTGATTTCAAATTAAGGTGATTTTAAATTAGGTAATTTTAAAAATATTATAATATTGTAATTTTAATTGAATTATAATGTAAATATAAAAAAATATTTTAATCATTGTAGTATTACAATAATGTTCAGTTAAGAGTTAAGAAAGTTTTATAATTAAATAAAGAGATATTAAAAAAATCACAAAATGTATTCTTGACACTGGAGATGGAAGATAGCTATTCAAATTATATATGTGCATCACATATTTGTTCTCATACTCATAACATTCATGGTATATACTACAATAATAGTTAGAGTACTACAAGCTAGTGAACTACTATAAAGACAACAAAAGTTTCCTTACTATTTTCTTCCTCACAAAAGGTCTTCAAGGTTACTTTAAAAGAGGAAATGGAAAGAGTGACCTCTTCTTGTGAAACCGGGAAATGCACCACAATGTCACCTAAAAGTCTGAAAAACAAAAATGGTTTAAAGTTAGCCTATAAATTGGACTATTATACTAAAAATGAAAGGTCTCATTAATAAACACTAGTTAATGCATTAACTAACAATGAAAAATAAATATATTACAGTATTTATTAATCTTTGTTACCATTAGTTGATAAACAATATTAACTGTTCATTGTTTGTTCACATTAGATCAGGTCCTTTAAATAATATTAACAGATACAACATTTGATTTTAATAATGTATTAATAAATGTTGAAATTACCATTACCCAAGACTAATACATTCTTTAGAACTATTTTTCAACTAATAACTAATGTAATTAACTAATGTTAATAAATGGAACCTTAATCAACCTCAATCTTTTTAGTTTAGAAAACTAAAGTCATAGTGAGCTGGAAACCTAGACAGCATAAGCATGTGCATCAAAAAGGCTTGGATGCTCAAGACATTGCAAAAATTATGTCTAATACAGCAGGTTTTGAGACACAGCCAATGACTTTATTTATGATGTAAACATAAAAATAAATAAATAAACAATTCCACAAAGAGTTTCAGAAAAAGTAATGCTGAATTATTTGTGCACTTACTTGGACTGGGCCATTAGGATATTAGGACTGAGGTGAGCTGGGAACACGGCCTGCAAAGCTTCGCATTCCTGATACCCCAAATTATAGGTCTTTGTTATTCCTAAAACATGTACGTAAGTGCCAACATCTTGATTAGAACAAATGTGATAAGTTGTGATGAATTATGCAATATGGAAATGATTTGTAGCATCTCATCGTAACAGAAGAGAGTCCAGTGAAGTGTACTGTCACCCTGTGATTACATCCGCCAACACCAATCTGTTCCTCCCTCTGTCAATGCACTAGCAGATTCAATACATACTTCACATGCAAATGAACTAACCGTGTCTGCAGTGAAACTGAAATATCACCCTGCTGTTTGGGATGTTGATGGATATCTCACATTTGTCCACACTGCGCTCTCTCCATGACGCACAGCGGAACAGGGGAAGCACACACTGATTAAAAAGCATAGGATAATTAGTAAATAGCTGTACTAAGAATGAATAATTACTGATGGATATGAGTTAAAGCACTGAGTATTAATATTACTGGTTCAGTAATCATAATTTATTTTTGATGTCGAAATCAGTCTTGTTTTCCAGTGCAAATGTCTAAATATTCATAAATCAGGATGCATTTACTTGAGAAACAAAATGACATAAGTTAAGATCCCTTTCTAAGAAATGGATTGAAATGAAGTTATTATAGTTATTATAAACCAAAGACAAATATCTGCCAACGGGTTCAGAAAAATCTAATTCATTTAAAGCAACTAAGTTTGCTTGTTGTTGTCATATTTTTGTTTTAAGTATAAACTCACTTCATTTTTTAAAATTTTTCAGAAAACAAGACTTTATATCTTCATTTTGCACGTAAAGTACGTGTTTGGATGTTTGTATTGAAAAAAAAAGACAAAAACATAGAGAAATATATTCTTTCTTTTTTTTTTTACAGTGCATGCAACATTTAATGCCATGACTTGGCCAAGAATTTAAGACTTTCTGCTCTGATTTAAGACCTTTTTAAAGCTTTAATTTGTGGAAGACTGAATTAGGACTTATTAAGACTTTTTTTAAGACCCGCGGAAACTTTGGAGTAATAACGTCATCGTCCAATCCTGCAAGACTTAAAGGGGTCATATGATGCTGCTAAAAAGAACATTATTTTGTGTATTTGGTGTAATGAAATGTGTTTATGCGGTTTAAAGTTCAAAAAACATTATTTTCCACATACTGTACATTATTGTTTCTCCTCTATGCCCCGCCTTTTTGAAACACGTCGATTTTTACAAAGCTCATCGATCTGAAAAAGCAAGGTGTGCTGTGATTGGCCAGCTATCCAGTGCGTGATGATTGGCCGAATACCTCAAATGTGAGACGGAAATGTTACGCCCCTTACCATACTGTGATGCCCTGTCCGGTCGGAGCGACGAGACATAAACATTAAAACCCATTACAAACGAGGCATTTGTTGCATCCAGTGAGGACATGATTACTGATTATAATGACTTATACTGTCTTTTTACGCGTTGCGTTGCATTGCATCGCGCCGCGTAAACATAAAACTCTGTCTGCATTTGTGATCAGAGAAATGACAAACAACAAGTGCTACTCTACACTGCCCAAAACTCGCGTTTGAATCATCAGTGGCAACGAAAAACACAGCGGACTAGCGTGAGGGGAAGCCCCGGCTTAGCGTGCGCTGAGGCCGGGATAGAGTGAGCTGAGGCGGGCTGGACTCCGCTTTGTCCACGGTGAAAGTTGATGTATTTCCTCAGCAACCAGCACAGATCAGCTCTAGGCATGACGAAGCGGATATCGTCCTCTTTTGGAAGACCAAACAAAGTAGTTTCGCTTTCACAACGAAGCACACAGCGCCTTCACGACATGGCTGCAGCGTCAACAATACTACAGCGAGAATAAAAGTTACACCTTCATTCTTTGCGTGAACATTTGGGCGGCGTTATGCAAATCTTCCCACATAGTGAGGTAGACATGTGGGGGCGTGTTAGAACGAGCCGTTTTAGGTAGGCGTGGTTGACTCTTAACTTTTATAAAGAATATCTCTTTTGGATTTGAGACTTTAGTCTTTGCAACTTTACAGATCTTCTTTATGCACCAAGAGCTTGTAACACTCCAAAGAGAAAGGAAAAATTGAAATCGCATCATATGACCCCTTTAAAGAAAACTGTGGTTCTTCTGAGTGTTTAGTACCTTCAGGTTTAACTTGCATTTTACTGCTTCACAGTCTTTCTGAATGTCTGGATCAGGAATATATTGCTGGAAGAACAGAGGAGTGAAGCAGAAACAGGCATAAGCCGACTGAGATGAGTTTACTGTCCTTACAGCCAACTACAGATGAGAGAGACAGAGAGACAGAGAATTAGAAATGAGAGACAAATAAGATAGATAGTTCATATTTCCAAATACAATTAACTAATGTTAACAAATGGAACCTTATTGTTAAGTGTTACCAATTAAGCTTAGACAAAAAATAAAGATTAAGACTGAACACTAAGGCCCGGTTTCACAGACAGGGCTTAGAACCAAGCCAGGATTAGGCCATAGTTCAATTAGGACATTTGGGTAATTTTTATAAGCGTGCTCAGAAAAAAGCATTACTGGTGTGCATCTTGAGACAAAACAAAGGCACTGATATATTTTAAGATCAGTCAGTGCAAGTTTCTGTCAGTTGAAACAGCTCAGACTTACATTTTAGTCTTAGGACTACCCTTACCAAAAAGTTTATTTTTAAGTATACTTTATGTAGCAAGTATACAAATATCAGTGTACTAGTAGTATACTTGTAAGTGTACTATTTCAATACTCCTTGGGACTAAATTGACCCACTTTCTAGTATATAAAAGTATACTCTTAAGTATACTTTAAGTATAACAGTAGTAAACTAAGTACACGTTTACATCATAATGTTTAGTTTGTACTGCAACTATACTAAAAGTGAACTTATAGGTATACTGATAGTTTACTAATTAAATACTTGTAGTAGCATTTTTAGTACACTTTGAAGTATAGTCTCAGTAAACTACTAGTTTAGTAGTTTTATACTGCAAGTATACTCGTAAGTTTTCTTTAAGTGAACTTTACATCATACTTTAAGTGTACTACTATGTCCCTGTTTAGGTATTAATTTGTATATATTTTGTTACATGAATATCTGAACATACAAACATCAAAAGAACAGGGTATCTGATATATAACAATTTTTATGACTGCAGAAATATGTTAATTCAGTGTGCACATTATCCCATCGGTTACGATTGTGATTGACCATAAGATAACATTTTGTCTGATATTTTCATGTCTGGGAAAAATTTGGGATTAAACGGGTTAAAATGCGTTTTAAACAAAGTGAAGTGGTTTTCATTACCCGTTTTACTCTATGAAATGTATTAAATTATTAAATTACTAAATGTAAAAGTTTAGTGCAGAAGTATCGAATCGGTATCGATATCGACGATACTGCCTTGAAAAATATCGGTATCGTATCGAAAACAAAATAAGGGGTATCGCCCATCCCTAATGGAAGCATCTGTTGTTTCGGTGTCTTCTTCACTTGTGTTTTTTGGGAAATTCTGAACAGAAGATGTGTACTAGCGCCCCCTACAGTATAACGATGAAAACACGGAGTCTAGGAGCACAAGCATGGCTCAAATATATTTAGACTTTTTCTGAGTAGGCTATAAGTCAAGTATACTTAAATGTAATTTCAAGTATATTTCTGAGACGTACATAAAGCCCATTTCTGAGAAGTACACAAAAAGTAGACTAAAAGTATAGTTTCCTATTTTTAGTTTAAAAGAAGTATACTAATAGCACACTTGATTAAAGCCTACCCTTTCTTTTTCGTAAGGGTAGGCTTAAGCCTTGTCTGTGAAACCCGGGGGTTTAAGATTGTGCCTTAAAACCTAGTGAGCTGCCTACCTAGATGATGAAATCAAAGGCAGCTCATTCATTATATTTTACGAAACAACCAATGACTTTATTTATTATCCACATTATATTCATGTGCATATATATCAGACCTACCCCTTTCTCCAGTGGATCCAACCATATCTCATCACCAATTCTTGACAGCGCATGAACTGCTTTTCCAAAGACTAAACAGAGATGTTTATTAGCAACAAATGCTAACTGGAGGCGGTTTATTTAGATAACACGGAGTAAAATTGTGTCCTACCTTTAACGCCATTGCCTTCAATTACGCACTTCATTATATTTTCAATGTTTAGCTAAATTTCAAAAGGGAAACCTTTAGAGAAAAGTGAATTTAGATAATAAAAACTATAAAACAGCTTGCTTCCTTGCTTGCTTTTTTTACCTCAGCGCTAAAGAGCGGGAAAGAAATGAGCGCGCGCCATATAGTGTCCGACTAACGGAATAAGCGCGCGATGCTGTTCTCACCAGTGTTTTTTTTTTAAATAATTATTTAGGTTTTTATTGGGTTTACAAGAATAGATCACTGTGCGTGACATTTAACGTATTCCTGACACCGTTCAACAGGGAATAAATACTAACCTTTCCACAAGTTAAAATAAATTATACAATAAATACTGTATAGAACTGAAAGTAGTGGAAGTCTGCATAAATATTCACCGACACATCCAGATGGTACGCTAAGGTCCATTAATAAGCATTTGCACAATTTAATTTCAGAAGTATATTAATGCCAAAATTAGTGTATATGCATATACGCACCTGTCGATAAATGAATAAAAAAATAGAAAAGTACAAATGTATAATTTCTCTTAGTGATTTGTGCAAAAACACGAAGTATAGGAACTGGATATATTGAGAGCAGCGGGCGACCGGAACGATGAAAGTGTAACACAGAAACACTCGTGGTGTTTGTAGATGTAAATATGAAAATGTCAGCTGCTGGAAGTTTATCATAGAGACATTTACACCTATAAAAATACTGAATGTGTTCATATGGGAGTCGACCGATCCTCACATAGTTTGACCATGTATTTCGAGCAGTCCGACTGTAAATTGTCTTATTCTTTGTTAAGGTGGCAGGTAGCAGGGTGCCGTAAAGGAGCGGCTAGAAGAGGAAAGCAAGCTTCAAACCCCAAACTAGACTCATACCTGGGGCATGTTCAAGCTCAAACCGGTGTGCAACGTTTTGCTACGGTTTCCGGTTTGAACGACATGTTAGGGCAATGACTGTACCATCCAGTGTATTTTGCAGTATTAAACACGTATTTAAACCCATTTCATCAGGCTCCGAAAATTCTTCAAAAGGAACACAAAGAATGGCCTTCTCAGCTGCTATAGTTGCAACTCTTGCGTCATCAGAACAGTGTTCAATGCACCACCGTTTCCGTTTAAAAAATGTTTTGCACCGTTTTGTTGGGGCTGAACGCAGCCCTGGTGTCTGACTGCAAACTGGACAAGCAGAAGATAATAAACGCCATGTGAGAGTTCATATGACTGCCACTATCACACGTTACACGAGTGTCTGGGTCAAATCCAAGCAGACATGATGCATTATAACACCATTGCATTCTTTTAAATACCCTGGAGACTTAAGTAAATAGATAAGTGCATGAATTAAGTTAAGAACTGTGTTCATGTTGTCTGTGAGCTCTCCGAGATGTTCTTTACTGTCACAGGAATGAACTGAGGAGAAAACTTCTGGATGGAATGGAAAGTTTAACAGACTGATAAGCTCTTTTGCACTAAACTCGTTATATCTTCACAGTTGTTTATATCACTGGTTTGCACTATAACTGCCATGTGCCTTATGCCACTTTTTCTATCTCTCTCTTTTTTTTCTTTTTTACATAACCAACTTTGAGTCTTACTCATGATTACTGTTGAATTTTTGTTTTCTGAGGATGCTTCAGAGAGAGTTTGAGAGACACTACCGCTTCCTTTCAAATGTATGCTTCACAGTTACAATTCATGCATGTTTATAAAGAATTTCAACATAACAAATGCAGAGAAATACCTGATATGACGTATAAAATCCTCATCTTGGAAACAAATGTTATGCCACTTTTTCTATCTCTTTTTTTCTTTTTTACACAATGTCCTTATTTGTATATTGTATAGGTTGTATTTTATATATATTTAAACTGTATGTATCTGTATTATGTCTACTGTTAGTGTTAACTGTATGCACCAAGGGTCTGAGAGTAATGCAATTTCAATTCTCTGTATGTAGACTTTGAAAGGTGAAGCTGAATATGTACTGTCTATAAATGTGAAAACACAATTTGTATTAATGACAACATTCCCATCTCCACCCTCAGATCTCCTCTCTGAGCGTCTTCTTTTCAACGCTTCTGGTTCCTCAGAGCAGAATGGAGAAGTTTCTCTTCAGCACTGTGTGTGTTAAGGTTTGGGTCACTTTGCTTCTTGTGAATCTGCCCGATACCAGCTTTCAATGTTGTCCTGTGATGATCCTGTGTTTTCTGAGTCAGCGTGTGATGCCCTCAAAGAGCTTGGCTTCACCGTGTTGACTGAAAATGAGGTTCACACATCTACTGACGTGAACAAAGACATTTGTTCTGCTGTCCGTTTTTAAAGGGGTGGTTCATTGCGATTTCACTTTTTTAACGTTAGTGTGTAATGTTGCTGTTTGAGCATAAACAATATCTGCAAAGTTACGAAGCTGATAGTTCAATGCAAACGGAGAACTTTTTTATTTTAAAAACAAACAAGCAAGCCCTGTCCAGATTTAAAAAGTAGCGCAAAATTAACGTAACGCATTACTTTCCATAAAAAGTAACTAAGTAACGTAATTAGTTACTTTTTTAATGGAGTAACGCAATATTGTAATGCATTACTTTTAAAAGTAACTTTCCCCAACACTGCGTTTAACCAACTTTGAGTCTTACTCATGATTACTGTTGAATTTTTGTTTTCTGAGGATGCTTCAGAGAGAGTTTGAGAGACACTACCGCTTCCTTTCAAATGTATGCTTCACAGTTACAATTCATGCATGTTTATAAAGAATTTCAACATAACAAATGCAGAGAAATACCTGATATGACGTATAAAATCCTCATCTTGGAAACAAATGTCCTATTATGCAGTTACATTGCCATGGATGATACAAATGTTATTTATTTTCTCGTTGAATATCTTGTTCTTTCGAGACCATTAATGTCACAAAAGTTGACCTCATACTGTTGGTGTCCTATTGTAAATTTAGATTCTCACAGGTTTACATTTTTCCTCCATAAGGACTCACAGGCCTTGACTAAGTTTTGTTTTAGGTGGCAAGTGTGTGACGGGACGTCTCTGCCCTGCTCACCGCGATTCCTGGATGTGTTCAGTGACAGCGCTCATTCAGTTCCCTCTGGACTTTGAAAGGTGAAGCTGAATATGTACTGTCTATAAATGTGAAAACACAATTTGTATTAATGACCACATTCCCATCTCCACCCTCAGATCTCCTCTCTGAGCGTCTTCTTTTCAACGCTTCTGGTTCCTCAGAGCAGAATGGAGAAGTTTCTCTTCAGCACTGTGTGTGTTAAGGTTTGGGTCACTTTGCTTCTTGTGAATCTGCCCGATACCAGCTTTCAATGTTGTCCTGTGATGATCCTGTGTTTTCTGAGTCAGCGTGTGATGCCCTCAAAGAGCTTGGCTTCACCGTGTTGACTGAAAATGAGGTTCACACATCTACTGACGTGAACAAAGACATTTGTTCTGCTGTCCGTTTTTAAAGGGGTGGTTCATTGCGATTTCACTTTTTTAACGTTAGTGTGTAATGTTGCTGTTTGAGCATAAACAATATCTGCAAAGTTACGAAGCTGATAGTTCAATGCAAACGGAGATATCCTCTTTTAAAATTCTGCCAGTTTAATGCCTACAAAAACGGCTGGTAGGGACTACAACGAGTTACTTCCCGGGTTCATGACATCACAAACCCAGATAAACCCCGCCCTCGGAAAAAGGCAGCAAAGGGGGCGGGGCCATGCTGCGCAATAATAATAATAATCAAAATATTGTTTTGTCTTTTTTAATAGGAGTCTTGTTTTATTGGGACTTAAAGGTGAAGTGTTTATTTTTTTTGTACAACTGGTGTCAACGTACAGAGCTGGAGAAAGTATGGAAGCCTGTTTCTGCCACAGGATAAAAAAATAAAAGGTAACTGCAAAATTGAAATGCTTAATTATGAGATGTTAACTCAATTTTGAGTTAGAAACTTGCAATTGCAAGAAAAAGAGCCAAAATTGGGAGATAAGTCAATTATAATTTATATTTTTAACTCTGTGGCAGAAACAAAAAATCGATACACTTTTTTTAATGCAAACCAATATATAAAAAAAGTCCAAATTGCAAGAAAAAAGTCAGAATTGTTCAATAAAAAGCAGTTCTTTCCTTTTTCTTTTTTTTATTCCGTGATGAAAACAAGCTTGCATAAAAAAAGTTGGTGAAACTACAAAATGAAGAAAGTCGCATAACTGATGTTCACTCACATAAATGAAACTTTATTTAGTAAAACATTTTAATGACTTCAAAACTTTGTCTTAAAGATAGTAATTTTTTGGCTTCTCTCTTGTGTTATTAAAAAAGACACTGAATTGAGACGGTCATGTGTCAAACACTGGATCAATCCCATCATACTGTATCTCACTCACTCCGTCTCAACCTGCTTCTCAGAATCTCCTGAATCTTCCTTCACAACACACTCTTTTCCACTCACCACTGCTGATTCTGACTGTGCTTCATTTACTGACGTCATAATATTGCTTGACTTTGATTGGCTCTCAGTGGAGACACCGTTAGTGATGTTTGACTGTTGTTCCTCCTCCTCACTTTTGTTTTTTGTGGCACAATCTCCATTATGCAGATGGGACTCGATCTGGCCGTTCATTGTAGAGTGGTCTGGTTTCTCAGAAGAGTCAGTTTCCGATGACTGACTTTCTGCATTTGCGTCTGTGGCCTCTTGCGTCTGTTCCGCATTCGCTGTGGTCTCCTCAGTGACCTCTCCATTATTGGTCTGCAGCTCTGAAGCTTTGTTCTCATTGGTGGATTCGGAGTTCTCCAGTTTAGCCTTTTCCGCCTCTTCTGCTGCCTTCCTCTCTTTCAGCTTCTCTTTGAACTCCATCATTCTTGTGCTTAAGCAACAATAACATTGATTTATTTAGCTTTATCAAAAATTCTGCAGAAACTGAATGCAAATTATTCACAAACTTTTACGCCTCCCCAGAAGTGTTTTTGCTGCTGCTGTTGTTGTCGTCGTTGTTCATTTATTTTTTGTTTTGCTTTAT